CTCTGGACTATTTTCGAACCATGTTTAGGTTTTTGAAAAGATGCTTCTAAATATCACCTGGGATAAGTTGTGACTCCTTCACTAAGTGTTAAGAAGCACCTAGAACTGATAATCAATCCTCTTGTGTTTCTAACTCATGTTAGTGCCTGAAAGCTATTCTCAGTGAAATAACTGTTTTAGCTCAAAAGAAAGTCTGAAATGTATCATTTAGTCTTAAAAGCACTGTAACACTGTCCTCCCATTGTTCATCGATTTGCTCGAGCAGGCACCAGTAACGTCTCCATTTTTTGAGACTTGTTGTTACTGTGTTTGGCATATCGAATACGTCACGGGGAGCTTGCCAGGCTTTGCCGCACGGGCAAGATACTCTCAGTAGCTTGCCGGGCTCTTAAAAACTATTTTTAATTTAAAAAACATAGATTTTTACTTAGATAAATATGTACATACTAATTTTGGTGCACACTGGCTCATGTTCAGAATCTAAGAAAAATGATGGCTCTAATTGGTAGTAGATTAAAAAAAAAACTTGAACAAGCTAGTCACAGCAGCTGATGAGAGAAACTGAGTGATACAGAGAAACTCCATATTAGCATAAAATGTTCTGCTTAAAACCACAACACCCAATAAGAGAGAGAGAACAAAAGGGAATGCCCCGCCACAGAGGCAGGGTGGGATGGGGGGGATGGGGGTGGGAGGGATACTGGGATCTATAGCGGTGGGAAACGGGCACTGGTGGAGGGATGGGTACTCGATCATTGTATCACTGAAACCCAAGCACAAAAATTTGTAAGTCTACAACTGTACCTCATGGTGTCTCACTAATAAAAAAAAAAAAAAGAAACCAAAGGGGGGAGAATGTTCTGCTTAAATAGCTAATAAAGCAATTAATGTAAAAATTGTTCTTGTTTCTTACACGGTGATCTGTTTTTGATTTTGTTAGAATACCTGTGTATATTTAGAGGCCAGCCGGGTATCCTAGAGGAAAGGGCAGTTCAGATAGAGAAGGGAGCACCAAATAAAGGATGTTTGGAGGATCCTCCCAGGAGGGGAGATGCATGTTGAAAGTAGACTATGGACTGAACATGTTTGCCACTCAATGCCTCTTTTGCAGACCACAACACCCAAAAGGAGAGAGAGAACACAGGGGATTGCCCTGCCACAGAGACAGGGGGGATGGGGGGATGGGGGGATGGGGGTGGGAGGGATATTATCCATGGTGGTGGAAAATGGGCACTGGTGGAGGGATGGGTATCTGATCATTGTATAATTGAAACCAAAGCACAAAAAATTGTAAATTTACAACTGTAAAAAAAAAATAAAATAAAGGGAAAAAAAAAGAATACCTGTGTATTCTTACTCTGCTGGAAGAACCTATTCAAAGTTAAGTCGAAGTTGAATAGACTGAGAAGAAAAAGATCATTTTGTAATTACACAAGTTTTTGAAAATCTTTATCTGTAATCTAAAAGTAGGCCCAGAGAAAATGGGTAAGGTGCTTGCTTTGCATGCAGCCAACACCACTTCAAACCCTGGCCCCACATATGGTCCCCTGAGCACCCCCAGGCAGGACCCCTGAGCACAGAGCCAGGAGAAAGGAAGGTCTCAGCACTGCAGCTTGAGGCCGCAAACAGAAAACAGGAAAGTATTACTATTTCTTTCCTGACATATACAGAAAACAACATTTCTCAATCCAATTTCACTATGAGGAAAATGTCAAAATTTGAAAAACATGCAGTATTTTCTTCCGAGCTGATTTATGTTTCATTCATATGAGACAGGGAAAATACTACTGCTACAGTTGGATTTTCAATCGCCAAGGGAAAGCCACTCACGCCATGTAGCTGAACTACAATAATAATGTAAGATTTGAAGAAATGCCTGGTAGCTTCAAAACTTCTCAAGATGTACGCAGAATGGCACTGCATTTGAGCATTTGACTAGTAAATACTTTTTTTTTAAATGAAATATAAGTATAAAAATTATGTTCGTGCAAGAAAGAAACTTTTTAAAAAAATGTGATCTACCTCTAAATACAGCCCAATTAGAAAATCCATCACTTAAAGTTAACAACCTCCCTTATCACAAGAACTATTGTGTTCTTGGAGTGAGTCAAGTTTGGGCACAAACTGAAAGTAAAAAAATATATATATATTACAGTGAACAAACCGTATTTAAAAATCAATCTTCTGTGGAAGATCAAAAGAAAGGTTTTTAAGAAAAAAAAAAAACTATGCACAGCATGTAGCATTTTGGAAGCCACAATTCCAAATCAAAATGTTGTTTCCGATAGTTACAAAATGTTAAAAGACGGCCTCTTGGTGATATTAAAGCATCTGAATCGTTGATGTAATACAGGGAAACTCCCCCCCTTTTCAACATACCCTCCTCATCAGCACCCTGGCTACACACGGCATCTATTCATCTTCCATCCTACTTTAATAATACAAGTGACAGCTAACAAATGCTTCTCCGGTCTTTCAATAAACTAAGCCTGTGCAGACAGGTAGGTGAGAGAGAGGTTAACTTGGCATCGATTATTTAGACAATCCATCACGTATTTAACAACCTCCCTCATCACAAGAACTATTGTATTGTTTATAGACCCTTGCTGGGACACTGTGAATTTATTTTTAAGTAATTTTTGCCGTGTGCATTAGAAATCACAGCCCATTACAGGATAACATTAGTCTCAGGTCTCCTGACACACACGTTGCAGGGCAGAAGTAGTTTGTTGTACAGACCTTTGGAGCTTATTCCCTGCAGCGGAGTTTTGCAACTTTCTTTTAATCGTTTTCATTAGAATGGACGTCTTCTGGGGACTCCATATTCTATCGTAAGCAAAATGGTATCGCAACATCGCTTTCTAAGGAAACTTTCTAAGGATGCTTGCAGTCCTTCAGATTCTGATGTCCATGTTATCGAAACATGATTCACAATGAGTGACAGATTACAATTATTTTTAATTGACCGTGAGATACAGTTACAAAGCTTTCAGGATTGAGTTTCAGTCATACCATGATCAAATACCCATTGCTCCACCAGTGCACATTCCCCACCAATGAAGTCCCCAGTATCCCTCCCATCACCCCACCCCACCCCCACCCCTGCCTCTATGGCAGACAATTATAATTTTTGGCTAATGCTGAGAGCTTCAGTAGGAAAGCATAAGAATCATTCATAAAAGGGACTAGATGATGACTTATCAAGCTGGAGTGCGGACTTTCCATGGGGGCATCCCAGATAACAACCCAGCACTGCCTGGTTCCCAAGGAGCACCAGAAGACCCCGCACATGGCAGGCAGGACCCCTCCCCCAATCTCCACAGTGTACAAGATTTCTATAAACATTGCTTCTTCCCGATAACACTGCAAATTATAAAGAGATGTATAATAAGAAAGTCATGAAAAATGAAATGTATAAAAATGTCTTTCCAGAGAAAATGTGAGCAAAATTTTATAAATGAAAGAATAAATTATCTCTGTTGAATATGAAAGTTTGAGAGACTTTATAAACATATTGAAAGCATTTTACAAAAAAAAACCCTGTCAATCATGGAACTAAAGTATATAAATTGATGTCTTTTATTCTAAAGAGTTGCAAAATTCATCACATTTATAATGCTGATTTAGTTCAAATTTGTTTCTTTAAAATATTTTCCTCCTGAGAATTGTTCTTCTATAAAAAATGTGCTAATATTTATGAGTATAGCTATGTCCAGTTAGTCACACTATTGATATCTAAAATGCTTATGTTTCAAGAATCAAGTGTATATTAAAATAAATGGAACAAAAAATTCAAAAGAAAAATAGACACTTTGGTGCTTTTTAAAACAACAAATATAAATATTTTGAACATTTTGAGATAGAACTTAAAACTTATTTTTCTAATAGAACAGTTTTATATTAAGCATATTGATATATTCTGCAATACAACACAAAAATCACAACTACATTTATGTCAAGCGATATAATAAGGGCATAGAGTAACATTTTATTATATACCTTTATAAAACAAATTAAAATTACCCACTTGCATTTGTCATAAGTGCTAAAGTAACATCAATAAATCTTTCAAAATATTTAAGAAGAACGAGTTTTCATAACGATGATACAAGATAACAAATATAATTCCTTTTTCTCAGATTTAATTTTATTTTAAAAATTAACTTTTATTTCTTTGGGGGCAACAACTGGTTCTTCTAGGGGCTCTGCACTGAGGCATGACTCTTCAGAGGCTTGGGGACTATATGGGGTGCCAGGTTCAAAACTAGGTCAGCTGCGTTGCATGCTAAATCTTGGAGTTCAATTCCTGTATTATTATTTTTTTTTATATAAAAGGAAGCTTAAAGTCACTAATAGGAAAAACAAAAATTTCTCAGCTGCATCTAGGATAACTTGAATCAAAGTTATTCTAAATTACAGTGTTCTAAGAAGCAATTCTGGATTAAGACATATTTTACAATCATAGGTGGACAGTCCACACTCAACAAAATGCTTTCAATTGAATTACTTTCTGCAGCCTGGTTTGAAGAAGCCAAAGAGCTAACCTGCTTTTATAAATATCCCTGCAAATTTGTGTTTCCTTTTCAGTGCCAGAATGCGAAAACGATATGCTTGGTTGGCCAGTGGGTGACTGCAAACATAATAACTTTATTAAACTGTTAATAAATCAATTAGTACCTTCTTAAAAATAAATTGTCCTAGTATTGTAATTTGTATCTTCCACATGTCTTCAAATTTACTAATTCAAAAAGACTATATTAGAGATGTTGGCTTAAAAAAAAGAGAGAAGATAATAAGACATTGGTATGCGAGGCAGTGTCTGTAATTATCTTTTTCAGTTCCAGAAGTTATTTGGGAATTATTTAAGAGCAAAAGACGAATGGTACACCACTAAATCCTATTAAATCAATGCATGGTCACAGGGGCAGCAGAAGTAAATACATCGTGAAGGTCTGAATACCAATAAAGAAGATAAAAAATGGTTTTATATAGCTACTTACATCATAGCCTAGAACTTCAGTCTGAGTGGATTTATCTACTCTTGAAGCAAAAGCCTTCTGTAAATGCTGGAATTTTTCCTGCAAAATGGAAAAACAAACACAAAAGAAACCCTCATTGATGGTGAGTCATCTGCTTCTGGGCTGGTACTCAAAATACATTTCATTAGCATCAACTCAGGATTCTCTCTGTGCGCATTGCTCCCTGAAGCTCAGCACATCTCAACTCAAATGCAAAGCTTTTAGTTTCAGGTCATCAATACACCACCTTTGCTTCTTTTCCATGACTCCAGGAAGCAGGGAATCGGAGCTACAGATGGACGCTAGGGAGAAAAGATCTGCGGAAATCCAAGAGCAAATGCTCATTCGAAGTATCTCATCAACCCAGAGTAACTAGTAGACAGGATTTTCTGATCTAAATTTTCAGATTCAGGTTTTCAGGATTTTCAGAGCATTTTCTAATTTAAAATCCAAACAATCTGCATAACCAGCTTTTGTTTTTTTTTTACTTATTATTTTAAAATTCTCTCCTCCCCCAATCTTCATTTAGCAACTAGTAGATCCTTATTTTGACATTAACTCAACATGGTCATGATACGTAAGGAGACTGAGAGAGGTATGATGTCTCATACCTCAAGAGCAAATGCACTACTTCTGGCTTGCTAATCTGACGGCATTTCACTAGTTCTTCTATTATTCCCAAGTGAGTCATGGAAGAAGAATCTTCAGCTAATGTGCTGTGTTTGCTCAATGTTGGTCCCAGTTATGAACTTTGAACTTCCAAGGTCTCACTGGATTCTGAGAATGTTACCACCACTACCATTATACTCCTTTCAGTGTGAACAATACAGTTTCAGAAGCTTAAATAATAAACGTTTCCAAAGCCACTGTCTTGACCCTTTTAAAAAAGATTTCCCTCCTTTTTGTTTCCTTCTGAATACTTAATAACACAACACCCTTCTTAATAATAAAGGTTTCAACTTAATTCATTTTTTTTTCCAAGAAGGGCACTGGCCATTCAGGACTTCCAACTACATATACCTTCCACACCTCCTTCTGCGGACAGCCTTCCCTGTAGCCTGTTTTCCCCTCAAATTTCCCTCACTTCTGCAAGTTATTTTAGTCACTTAACAATGTATAACCATCGTTCATTTTGACTTGTTGGAATACAGAAAAGGAACACCTTTCATCTCGAGCTGTGGCAAAACTAATGGGGATGCTTTTCATATCAAAGTGATTGGTCGGAGACGGAGAGAGAGAACATGGGTTAAAGGAGAACACGGGTGCCCCTTTAATCCAGGGCAACCCACGGGCACCACTGGGTATGACAAAAGGTCGGTACAGGGTTAAGGGGGCGGTGTGGCATCATGTCATGCAGAGGCAAAGAGTTGTACCGCTAAAATTCTACAGTAGCATGAAGCAATGATAAAGAAACAGTAAATAAAAATGTGATTCTCAGAATAATGGAATTTTTTTTAACAGTATCTCTGATTTATAGACAAAGCTGCTTGGATGAAATCATGCTTTCAGCTTACACAGCACACTGTAGCACTGTCCTCCCGTTATTCGTCGATTTGCTCGGGCGGGCACCAGTAACATCTCCATAGTGAGACTAGTTGTTACTGTTTTTGGCATATTGAATACGGCACGGGGAGCTTGCCAGGCTCTGCCATGCAGGCGAGTGGGATACTCTCGGTAGCTTGCCAGGGTCTCCGAGAGGGATGGAGGAATCGAACCTGAGTTGGCCACTTGCATGGCCTACCCATTGTGCTATCGCTCCGCCCAATAATAATATTAATAATAATAATAATAATAATAATAAAGATGTTGAAAGATGTTGAATCAAAGGGACTGGGGATATGGCTTAACAGTAGAGGCATGTCAAGGAGACATGGGACCTAGGTTTGCTCCCCAGTATTGCAAAAATTAATATATACACAGCACAGTAAGAGACAATCAGAATGGGAATTTCTTTCTTTTTTTTTTATTCAAAAAAATGGAAGATTGCAAATGGAGCTCAACTGGAGTGAACCCAGATAAGAGGAACTCCTGAGCACTTGCCAGCTTTTCACCCAAACAGCAAAACGTTTTAGAAAATCTCATAATATACTTCGATTTTGTTTTGTTTCATTTGGGGGACACGCAGCAGCGCTTAGGAGTTGCTCCTGGCTCTGCACTCAGGAATTATTCCTGGAGGAGTTCGTGGGACTCTATAGGGTGCTGGGGATGAAATCTGGGTTGGCCACGTGCAAGGCAAATGCCGTAGCCATTGTACTATCTCTCCAGCCCCATATGCTTTGATTTTCAGAGAAGTTCTTGGCTTATATTAAGACTGAGATGAAAGTACAGAGAATTTGTTTTTCCCCCCCACCTTTTTTCATAGCTTGCCCTATTATTAGTATCCTGCATGCTATACTTGTTATAATTAATGAACTAATATTAAAACATTATAAAAATCCATGGGGCTGGAGCGATAGCATAGCAGGCAGGGTGTTTGCCTTGCACACGGCCAACCTGGGTTCGATTCCCAGCATCCCATATGGTCTCCCGAGCACCCCCAGCAGTAATTCCTGAGTGCAGAGCCAGGAGGAACCCCTGTGCATCGCCAGGTGTGACCCAAAAAGAAAAAAAATCCACAGTAGACTTTTGTAGACATGAATTTGTTTTGATAGCAGTGATATTAATTTGAGCAGTTAGTTATGATCTTGAAATACATATTGATGTATAAAAGGTACATAAAATATATCAAGTTAAGATAATCTGACTCGCTTGTGGAATGATGACAAGCCTGTAACCTTCAAAACTGATGACCAGACCCTGGCAGCTGGGGTGGGAAAGCGGAGAAGGACCAGAGATGCTAAATGGAGAAACATGGGAACTTTGGTGTTGGCAGATGCCGTAAATTCCGTCACTAAGGCAGCATTTTTACTCAAACTCTAATGACCTAAAAATTAAAAATTATATGTGTACATTGCACATTGGACAGTCACAGAATCTGCCTCCTTAACAAGCTATCCTGGTAAGAAAGCTACTTCCTAATTTTGCAGCTTCCATGTCAAGAATCAAAAATGTTTTTATTGTGTCTGAACACAAAAGTTAAAACCATTCCCAGGGAGAAATGTGTCATCCTGCATTTTGCATGTGAAACACCTCTAAGTACGTGATGTTGAGGAAACCCTCAAAAGAAAAAAACATGGGAAAAATAAACTAGACGAAGTCTTGCAAAACCAGGACAACTGAGCTTTGAAGTGAAGCCCTGCACTTAACTGACTAGGAGCTTAAGAGAACCGGAAGCTATTTATTCATCTCATAGAATATATGTCTATTTATTTATATTTCTTGGTTAGCAAAACAATTATTAACAACATTTAAAATTCTATTAGTGTATTAATCTACATGATTCATTTTCTGTAGTACATTTATATTTATTATTTGCTAGCGTTCTTTTAAGCAATTATGCACGTCAAACTAAACACAACAAAGCAGGCTGGAATAAAAAAATATTCCATAGATTTAAGATGCATGCCATTTTATCTTAAAGTATAGTTTAATTATACAGTCAAGGAATAAAATCATCTATAGAATGATAAAAAAAAAGATGAATCTTTAAGAAATAAAACATGAGAACAATTTATAGTAGTCATTTTTAGAAAAAACAATAAAGGAAAATGTACTCTTTTAATGCATAAAATTAATAGTGATTGATAAGAGCTGTTGTAGCAGCACTCCAGGAATGCATATGGGAGTTAGGGAAGGTCAGCATTTGTGTTGCTAACTAAAATCTGCAAAGAAAATTTTGACTTGCAGTAGACATGAATTAAGAAATATTTTTTATTGTTGTTTTTTGGCTTTTTTGGTCATACACGTCATTGTTCAGGGTTTACTCCTGGGCATGCACTCTGGAATTACTCCTGGCATTGCCTGGGGGACCATAGGGGATGCTGGGGATCAATCCAGGTTGGTTGTGTGCTAGAAAAGTGCCCTCTCTGCTGTACTATAGCTCTGGCCCAAGAGAAAAAATTTCTTAAGTGTAGTATAATCCTAAATTTAGATCTTAAGTCATGGATTTTGAGGATAAGTTGATTGAAAGAGAAACAATATCGAAAGATTATCACCATCAAAGAGACAAAAGGCTAACATTTAAATTGAAAAGTAATATAATTAACACAAAATCATTCAAGACCTGTACTGAGTGAAGATTAAGGTAGAACTTATGTGGGTCAAAAAAAAATTTAAATGAACTTGTGACTAATCTGTGACAAAATATGATGGCTTCAAAAAAAAGCAAGAGATGGGCAGGAAATTTCTCGGAATTCCCAAATGATCAAGGATGAGCTCACCGATGAAAAGGCATTTTGAAAGACACCACACTGATGATTTCCATCTTTACCAAGGATATGTCATCGAACACAAAAGCAGGGTGGCGATCAGACAAATCAAAACTTCATCACAAAGACCACAAGATTTCTTGTAAATATCAAAAAGGCAGACAAATGAATTAGCATTACTTTAGATGTTAAAGTGGAAACTCATGAAGAACAAGTAAAGTAAAAAGTAAAGTAAAGGCCCTCCCGTTGATCATCGATTTGCTCGAGCGGGCCCAGTAACGTCTCCATTGGAGACTTTGTTGTTACTGTGTCTGGCATATCGAATACTCTCGGTAGCTTGCCGGGCTCTCCGAGAGGGGCGGAGGAATCGAACTCGGGTCAGCCAGGTTGGCTGCGTGCAAGGCAAACGCCCTACCCACTGTGCTATCGCTCCAGCGGGTTCAGAAGAACAAGAAGAGAAAAAAATAGCACACAGAATTCTTACGTACTCATAAGCCAATTTCAATCACAGATATTGGAATAAGAATAATGAGTAGTATTAGCTACCGAGAGTATCTCGCCCGCACGGCAGAGCCGGGCAAGCTCCCCATGATGTATTCGACATGCCAAACACAGTAACAACAAAAGTCTCCAATGGAAACGTTACTGGGCCCGCTTGAGCAAATTGATGAACAACAGGAGGATAGTGACAGTGACAGTGATTAGCTATTCATCCCCATTGCTTTGCTGCTTCTTAGATTAGCCTGGGTTAGA